TATACATGACGAATATACTCGTCATGACACAATATTCTACCACTTCTTCATGACGAGTATACTCGTCAAACATAGTTAACTGGGTTAAATCGATGTTACTTTGGTGAATAAATTTTACAAGTGTTTAATTCTATTTTGATCGATAATTAGAGACAGAGAGAGAGAGAGAGAGAGAGAGAGAGAAAGAGAGAGAAAACTGAATAGGTGATGACGCGCGCATAATCGTGACGATGCACACGTCTTTCAATGTTTACCAACCAATCAAATATCTATCTCTCTTCTTCTTCTTCTTCTTCTTCTCTCTCTTTTACTCCTTACAAATTAACACTGTCGTCTTATTCATGATCGAATAGTGTATAAATATATATGTATTTAACGATCCGACAGTCGTGATGTTGAAATAACGAATAGACAAGACCGTCATCATCATCATCATTATTGTTTATCGAGTTTTACAAAGTCGAGAAGCAACAATGTTGCACGCGCGACACAACTTCGGTGTGACTTTGCGAAGTAACAAAATGAATAATTTCAAGGACATTCTCTTCCACCATTTTTCTCTGGACTACTATTTATATTATATTGTACAAATAATAATAATAATAATAATAATATTTAATTAATGTAAAATAATATGATTTCTTTTGTTATCAGTGGTTCTCAAACTTTGTTGTCCTACCGAACCCTTTCCAGAATAAATATTACTTGTGTTGTAAATAACCCTGTAATGTAAACCCTCCCTCTCCCAAAATGCACCTGTGGCCATCACCGCCTCCTGAATCGTTTCAACGCCCACTTTGAGAACCACTGAACTAAATGATGATAATTAAAATGATAAACTGAAGTATAGTTTAGTTTGAATTGTATTTTATTTGAATACTATGAATTTTTATTGATTTGATCAGACTATTGATATTATTTTCACACTTATTTGTCAATTAAAAAATTGACAATTTTTCCTTTTCTCTTTTAAAATACCTTTCTGATAGATAAATCAACGAGTGTCTTTTTTTTTTTTACCAAACAACGAAAATATCTAATAAAAATTAATTTTTAGCTTTCTCTTCTTCTCTTGCTTTAAAATCAAAGCTATCAAGGTTCCAAGTGTATCATGGATCAAACGATCAACAACTAAACGTATCATCGTTTTTTCGTATTCATCGAAAATTTCGATAAAATCCATTTTCCTTCGATGTTTCAAAAAATAACTTTCGTCACGTTGGTAGAACGGTTGTATCATGTTAACTGATAAGCAATCTTTATTAATCTCGATTCTCGAAAGATTCAAGTAGTTCATAGTTTCAACTACTATTATTATTATTAACAAGTTCAGCGCCACGCGAATTCTTAGAGAAATTTCTGTCAGGCCACAAACGATACTTTATATTGAAATAATAGTTGAGTGTCAGTCACTTGTGACAGACGCGGCCTAAACGGAAAGTCCAGTGTCAGTCACCGATGACTGACGTGGCGCTCAACGTGTTAATGAACTAACGAAGAAGATTCTAACCTAATGCGAACAGGTTATGTTTCCATTTTTAATAAAACCGAGAAAGGGTTACGTCTGCCGTTGTTTTTTCTTCTCACAGAAAATCAGAAGGGATTTAACACGTTAAATCTCATGTGTCGATACATTTCAGAATTCAGAATGTGTGTAACATTGGAACTTTGGTCATCCGGGATAAAATTTTTGAACGAGTCAACAACTTTAGGTATATTTAGGATCGATCATAAACCAGACGAACGAAATAAACGAAAAACTTAAGAAAACAATCAATTTAGCCAATGTCAATAAATTACTCAGCTCGTGGTTGCTGTCTAGGTGCTTCAAAATCAGGATATACAGGACAATCATCCTACCGGTAGTCCTTTATGGTAGCCAAACGTGGTGTCACTTACGTTACGGGCCCAAAATAAATTGAGACTTTTCGAAAATAAAGTTGTTTCGTAAAATGTTCGGTGCAAAACGCGATGAGGAAACGGACGAATGGGAAAACCCCATAAGTGTAAGTACACCGACTGTACAAAATCGGACATCATTAACGTCGTAAAATCACGCCGATTAAGATGGACAGGTGTCATGTGGCGCGCATGGGGGTGGATCGAACGGGAAAAGACCATTGGGTAGACCGAGACGTAGATGGGAGGACAATATTATTTCAGGATCTTAAGGAAATGGACTACGAAGACCACGAATGGGATGGGAACACTGGCGGGATTTAGTATTTGTGGCAATGAACTTTCGAGTTCATAATACCAATTAATAATAATCGTAACGTTTCTTGAGTCAAGTTTTTTGGATTGGCCAATAAATGAAAGAGGGGATCGTTCATTTATCCTTCACGTAACACTGCCTCGTTTCATGTATGTTAGCAGCAGCAAAAACGCCTATGATGAGTTCATGATACATTAACAGCTGTCTCCTTCTTCTTCTTTTTCTTCTTTTTCTTCTTCTCCTTCTCCTTCTCGTTATCTTTATCTCTCTTTTTTCAAGTGAGTCTGTTATCGTTCGTCGTCGTCGTCGTCGTCGTCGTTGTCATCATCATCGTCGACGGAAATAAAGCAGAAAAGTGGGGAGCATCAAAGACCGATAGCCAGCTAATATAAAAGCATCATCGTTACCCGATGAGACCAGTTTTCAAAGATTCTTCATACGTGTCGTGTGTTCAAAATTATTGTCGTGAAAGTCCAATCGGATAATTCCCAGTTCTATTCTCTTCTCGTTTTGATTTAATATCAATTTGATATTATCCTTAAACGTGTCACCGATTGATAATCAAAATAATAAGATGAAAGTCTCATTGTTTTAGCACCGATTTCAATCGGTTTTAATTAAATCTCATTTTTATTAAAGAATTAACAGATCTAAAAGAGATAAAGGAATCAATCGGTTGAAAAGATTTGAACAAAATTGGCCTGTTGACGATAACAAGGCGTGAATTTTTACAAGATTGTTGCCACGGCTAAGTTTAACCGATCGAACGTCAATTGCCAGCATCGTTATGTTCTCGATCGAATACAGCAAACAATTCCTGAGCTACCGTATACTCAAGTCGAACCGGTTCAAATACATCTGACGATACGGACTCGGACTAAGTGCTAAAAAAAGGGGGGTGTGAAAAGCTGAAAAAGAGTGGCCGAGAGGAGAAAGAGGAGAAAGAAGAGGTGGAGAAGTTAGTGCGTGTGTGTATTTATTTTATACCGGCAACGACTTTGCGTATTTTTACGGTTAGCTCAGAAATCAAGGGTTCTCGATAATCAACAAGACCTGGAAAGTCTTGTTATTGTTATTGTTGTTGTTAATTATAGTCCTTCGATGGGATCGATTGATTTGTCTTTGACAGAAAAAATTTGTCGTTAGTAAAAAAAGAAATTTTTGAAGGGGAAAAAGGAATAATAAATATACTGTATATATCGACCTCTGTTAAATTGTTCAAAATAACGAAAAGCATTGGGCAAAGAGTTGTTGATCATATTTCCCAAATACTCTACCACCATCTTTTAGAATCTAGTTAAAAATATTCTGTTGCACTTTTTCCACTTAAGGGGATCGAAGTTAAAAGTTAGGAAAAAGGAGAGAAAGGAAGGAAGGGAATATTAAATAAGAAGCTGCTGAATTTTTTGTTTATACCGAAAGAGAAAGATCTTCGATAAAAGAAGCAGCAATTAAAAACCGAAATCTGCACGTCTTTGGTAGATCCGACTAAGGTTTATTCTTTAAAAGGAAGTAAAGGGTAAAAAAGAAAAAAATGATCGTTTACGTTCCGGGCAGAATGCCAAGCCACGTTGGTCCCTACGGTGCCGCTCGTTATCCTGGCACCCTGCTAGGAACGATCCCGGGTTTTTACAACCCGGTTTCCGGTTACTCCAACTCGAGTTACTACGACTACGGGGGCCTGAGCCAGCAGCAACACCACCACAATCATCATCAGCATCATCAACAGTTCCACCAACAACTGCAGGGATCGCTAAACCTTCCGGTTTGGCCTCGAAGGATGCCGGCCGAGGAGGAACTGCCAAATTCTCCGAGTGTCGTCGCATTGCCCGGCCTCGGAATATCCTCTCCTCCAACTGCTGCTGCTGCTGCTGCTGCTGTTGCTGCTGCTGCCGCTGCTGCTGCTGCTGCTGGACTCGGAAATGGGGGTCCACCACCGAGTCCTGCCCAAAGTGATTCCGATGCCTCCAGTTCTAGTCTCGAAGTAGGTTCCGTTCGAAGAGGGGAAAATGCCCAACTCAAATGCAGGTGAGACCAATTAATTATTGTTTACAACAATATACAAAATGGCCGATTTATATTTGTCCTCTGTATTTTATGATATCTATCTGATCTTATTCTACAGAGATAACAATTTACGGTTCAATAATCTGTTTCTTCAACAGCCAATTGATGATAATGTGTGTGTGTGTGTGTACGGATAAAATAAAACGCAATTTATTAACATGACTCTCGAGAAACATTGGATAATATTAGAAATAAAAATATTTACACTAGATATATTAAGATCAATCATTTTGACTAGGTCAGGCCATTTTAATTCAAAAATTCAACTTCATGTAACATTTGATTTCTGTAAATAATTTAAAAATGTCTATTACTGTTAAACATTTTTTTTTTGTTATTTTCTTAAGAGCAAATAAAAACTGGAAGTCTCAAAAAGCATTTATTTTTTTTTTTTGTATACACCAGTCATTTTGACTAGTGTTGTAGAAATACTAAAAATGGCGGTATATATCTAGTGTTAATATATAATAGCTCTTTTTCTAATATATATGTTTCTTAATACTCTTGATAATAACATTTTATCTAAAACTTTTGCAAACAAACGTTTTCCATATAATCTTACGTTAAATAAAAACTTCTTTTTACGTTTCTTATCCTTCTGGTTTTCTGCTTATGCGCACATAATAATATTCCCGACAAAAATAATAGTAGAAAGAATTGACATATGTTAACACACGTACTACTCGTCACCACTTGCGAGTTCATATTTTATCTGCAAACATTCAGAGTGAGAGAGTTTATTGTACTTTTCGAACCAATTATGGAAAAAAAATAATCGCGATCTTTTATAGAAGTTGTATTCTTCGATTTTAGCTTCAATAATTTCATTTATTTTATTAACTCGTATGAGAATATGTAACAGTTTGAGTACTATTGAAAAAGGGAGGAGGAGGAGGAGAGTATTTTAACTTTTCTATCTAATCGTTGGGTCTGGCTTTCTGTTATTTTTTTTTTTTTTGTTCTTTCTTTCTTTCTTATTTGTTCGCTTTCGAAACGACTTTAATTTATCTCTTTCGTATACACTTGCACACATGTATACTACACAACACGTGTATCTGTAAAATATACATTTGCAACGCGTCATTATTCCGGTTGCAACTAGTTCATTATTATCTTTAAAGTTAGACGATTATCAGAGATTTTTTTTTTTTTTTTGAGTATATTCAAAAACGGATTTGTTTGAAAATATGTTCTCTTCCTCGTTTTGAGTTCGATGACATCATAACCTCGAAAAGCAATAAAGAAAAAAAAAAAAGAAAAAAAAAACCGTTTTGTTGTTCTACGTTGAATGAGGAAGAAAATTTGTTCACTTGTAGATACAAAACACTTTAAAAAAAAAAAAAAAAAGAAAAGAAACAAACTTATAAGAATACAATCTTCAAGTAAGAAGATTTTGCGTAGTAAAATCCAACAACCAACCAATAAAATTGTAGATAAACGTATTATTGGGTTGTACGAAAAGTTCGTGTCGATTTTCGATAGATGGCATTAAAGTTGTTTTGCTAAAAAAACCTGAAAAATTTTGGAAGCACGAAATTTTCAAGTTTTATTATATTATTATATTTATTATTATAATTATATATTGAATTGGAAATTAAGTAATTGCCGATGATTTGTTGCCAATGAAATAAAAGATTTTTTTGTAATATTGAAGTAAAAATAATACTTTAAGAAAATATCTACGCAATGAACTTGTAAAGTTAGGTTAGGATGACATAAAAATAAAAATAAAAAAATTCAAAAATAAAAATGGAAATGAGAGACATCTACAACTGAAATCGGCAATTACTTAGTTACCAACCCAATATATATTTATATAATTATT